AAAGCAGCAAAAGACAGATGAAAATGAAATTTATCAACAGGAATAAAAGAACATGTGAACAGAAAGCAGCGGGAGGAATATCCAGTGCCTGAGAATGGAGAGGAGTGTACCAAGCACGTTAACAGTGGTATTAGTGATTTAAACACAGCCATGTAATGAAGCTGAGCACTAGCGTCATGATAAATTGGAGTGGAAGAGGCATAGCATGAGGCCAAATGTATGATGGCACGCAAAAAGAGAGTGACCCCACCTGCAGTATGTTCAATGCCAAAGACCAATGCCTGCTGCTCACTCCAATGACGAAATGGAAGTTGCAATATGTAAAATTAACACATGTTAGAACAAACAGATTCTTATGCTATTAAAAAGATCATGGTCTGGTCATAAAAGACTGAGTTATGTAACCTCCAAGAATTTAGCCTTTGAACAAGTGCTACATGCATTCAAGTGTTACTAATTAAGGGTGGGATATCAATCATAAGCTTTGAATCCCAGATATTGTCAGTTTAAATCTGACTCTTGGCATTGCTATAGGATGGCTTTGCTTTTAAAAGGAATGATGAGGTCCGAGGAATATCACATCAGCCTTCCTAATGAGAGAACCATAGAAAATAGGGCTGGAAAGGACCTTGCAAGGTCATCTAGTCCAGCCCTCTACCCTAAGGCAAGATCAGTTATACCCAAATCATTCCTGACAGATGTTTGTCTAACCTGTTCTTAAAAACGTCTGGCAATGAAGATCCCACAACTTCCCCAGGCAATCTCTTTCAGTACTTCACTACTGTTGGAGCTAGAAAGCCTGTCCTAATGTCTTCCTTAAATCTCATTTGCTGCAATTTAAATCCATTAGTTCTTTTCGTATTCCCAGTAGACACAGAGAACAATTTATTACTTTGCAGAAGGCTTTACATATCTGAAGACTGGTATCACATTCTTATTCCTTTCCCTGCATCTCTTCTCTCTAGACTCATAAATGCACTTCTTTCAATCTGTCCTCCCAGGTCATGTTTTCTAGACTTCTGATCAATAGCACTACTTTCTGCTGGACTTTCCAATTGGTCGACATTTTTCTTCTTTGAAGTACACTGCACAAAAGCAGACACATTACTCCAGCTAAGGTCTGAAGCAGAAAATAAGTAGGGTAGGATTACTTCACATTTCTTCTCCCTGGCACATTATTTACAGAGTCAAAATTGCATTAGCTTTCCTCACATCGTGTCCTGTGTTCAGTTTTTAATTCACAGCAGTCACAGATCCCTTCCTGCAGAATGACCACTGGGTCACTCACTCCCATCATTTATGGATGTTGTTGGCTATAGGAATTAAGTGGCAAGATCCTGGAGTGTCCAACACTTCACTTCCTTGAATTTAAACCTATTTGCCTCAGACTACCTTGTTCAGATTTAGTAAGGAGCTCATGTATCTATCAGCCTAATTTTATTGAGAGTAACATCAGAAAATAATTTAGTCCAAGCTGCTCATCCAGCATAAAGGAATTCAGCAACGGTCCTTCCCATTAATACCATGTTTAGCATATTCAGTCTGCAATAACCTGAAACACAATGATGTCTTTTTAAAGGAGATGGAGAAGTTTAAAATACAGAAAATTAAACACCGAATATTATAGCTCAGAGGTATCCTGATACCATGAAAGGTCTCCAACCTATCTGTATCCTGATGGGCATAATGCCCAGTGAGAGGAGGGTTCTTTCAAGCACCAATTATACCCAAATTAGGATTAAATCAGAAGTGTATTTTACCAGCTCCACCTTGGCTAGTTGTCCAGAAGGAAAGTTCAATCTCTATTCATATCTGTAATGTAAGGAATTACATTTGTCTTGTATAATTTTGAAATGTGTGATGAGGAACCAGGTACTGTTTCTTTTTCTGCTCTACAGGCAGATCCTACTCTGTAGCAGCTGCAGTAATTTGCACTGACAGCCTTAAGCAAAGAGGAAACAAGGTTTCTCACAGTAATAGGGTCTAAACAACAACCCAAAACTACACTGTGGTCAGAACAGGGTTAACTCTTCAAGTGCCAAAGTGGTTTTTCACCTGAAATTGAATTACAAGTTATGCCCCCCCACACTGTTTATAAGCACATAAAGCACAATAGCAATGAAATTTTAAAATTGCTCTGAATTTGACCTTTCTCTAATTTTTATTTTTACCAAGTATTTGAAACAATTTGGCATAATTAAAAATTAATAGTGGAATACTAAGTAGCTCAAAGTAACTAACTCCCATCGAACTTGACCG